AACAGAACGTTTTGAAAGACAAATTTATAACACTTTAAAAAAATTTAAACATGAATTCACAGATTAAGTTAGATCAAAATTAACACCACACAATAGTAAAACACCACATTTTTACGGAGTTCCAAAAATTCATAAAGTTCATATTCCTTTACGACCAATAGTTAGTAGTATAAATTCACCTACACATCCCTTAGCCAAATATCTTTTAAACATTTTAAATCCCCTAATAAATAACACAACTTCCTATATTAAAAATTCTGAACATTAACGTTCCTGTTGATAAAACTTTAAATATCATCAAACAAAAATTACAAAATGACACCAATCTTAAAGAACGCATACAACTAAGCATTAACACCATTATTGAACTTTTAACAATATGTGTAAAGTCAACTTACTTTCAATACAATGACAATTTTTATCAACAAAATTTTGAAATGGCTATGGGGTCACCACTATCCCCATTTTTCAGTAATCAGGCCGGGCTAAAGACGATATTTGTTTGCATTTCAGGATCAGTGAGCACCATTCTAGGAGTGCTTGCGCTCATCTTAGCCAACAACTACATCTTCGCCGTTTTCTTCAAAATGATCTTCCTGGTGGTGTTCCTTGGCGCCATGCATGGGCTCTTCCTGTTACCGGTTCTACTGTCCCTCTTCGGGCCGGGCTCCTGCAGCAGCCCGGCGCAGGACGACGACGTAAAAATATCAAGCATCGAAAAATCTCTGCCTCATCCCTACTGTATCCCTCATCCGCGCTTCACGCTCAACGGAAGCAACCTGAAACCCTCCGACTTGATGCCGGTTGATTACCTGAAAAAACCGATCAAAGGTTTCGGGGAGATGGAGAAGGACTTGGGGCTGGGAACTTCCGAGGAGAATTCCAGCCAGTCTTCTACGCATTCCAACAAGAAGCCCCGGGGGGAAATGCCTCCGAAGGACGTGGGGAGGCAGTACGGAGAGTCATGGAGAAGGGGCTCAGATTTCCACTTGAATCAGTACAGACCGCGCCATATCGACATATATGGTACCGAGCTGTACCGGCCGAGGGACGAAGAAGTCTTGGAGAGGTATAATGGAGGGTATAACACGGAGGATCGGAGACAGCAGCACCAAAGATGGAGGTATTCTCCTACTGAGCACGGAAATTTCCTTCCCAATGCGGCCCTAGTTAGGTCCAGCTCCTACCACAATGTTTTACATCCGAGATTTTTAAAGGAATCTCGCTTTCCCTAATGTTTGTGAAATAGTGCAAAGATTTTTAGAGTTAATGAAAGTGGAAATTACCTATACATTTTCGACTAAGGGAAATCAAGCTGTAAAGTTTCTTTTTAACTTTGTACATTTTTTTAGTTTAGATTCTAGTATTAAGATCACTAAAAAGGCTGCCTAGTTATTTTATAAGCTAATAAGCAACTGTTGACGATATAAATCACGGTACAATTATAGAATAAGATCTAGTAGATTTTCACTTGTTGGGTGATAATGTAATCTGAGTGGAAGTTACCGTTCAAGACCCGAATTGCTCAATACAAATACCTCCAGACGTTACAAGGGAAACTGAAACGGTCTCTGGTTCGGTATTCTCGATTTAGAGTTTTACCCAAAAAATGCAAACAGTCATTTGTGAATGTAATAACTATTTGTGTAAGATTTTTTGTACGACCAGAAATAAATAAATAAATAAATGTAAACATAGCAATACATACATACGTATGGGTTTTAATTATGTTTAATTCCCAATGATTTCATTCCACAAGTGGACGATTTCAACCAAAAAAGTCGGTATGAATAATATAATACAAAGCTGAAAAAGCGCAATAAATCTTCTTCACCCTGGGAAAATTTCCTCCAAAAATGAAAATTTTACATGCGGGTTTTTGAGTTCAATCGATTCCTTTCGACGCAAGAAGGTCACAAATATGCATTTATAAAGTGTTTGGGTCAATAATAAGGAAGAAATCGTCGGCTAAAGATCGTGA